AGGCCACGGAGGGCGAAGATGAGGGTCTTGGTCAAGCACCAGACCCGAGTCGAAGTTCTCAAACCAATACTGAGAAGGAAGACAAGAAGCAGCGAGTGATCGACGGGCGGAGAGCGGCACTAGGATTCCTGGAGTCAATGGAGAAGTGCATGGGAGATATGGGGATCTGTAAGAAGTGCGCGAACCTGGCCCACGACGGCGACTGCAAGGACATTGAGGAGGCTGCTGGAAATGAGAAGGCGATGAAGGTGCTCCGTGAGCTACTCAGCAGTGACCCTGTTTCATCTGATGAAGACATGGGGGATACGGAGGAACCGTCCTCATCAACGTCCAAGGAAAGAAAGAAAGGGGGACAAGCAGGGAAAGAAACAATTGAGATGTACAGCTACACCATTAATTTGGTGGAAATGGCTGACACGGCTGAGGGAGGAGAGCTACAATGTGGTGGCGTCGACCTCACCTACAACCCGTGCGGGGACAACAGGACATTCAAGAAGACGCTTGAGATGGGATGCGACACCATCCCGTGCTACATCCCGAAGTATGGCGATGTGAGTGATGTGCACTTGCCATGGGCGTATGCGTCCATCGTTGACCCCAAATACTTTCCCAAAGGTGCAATCCTTGAGCAAGTGGACGTGATGCAACTTGGCAAGAGTGTCAACTTCTGCATTGCTCCTTTCGACGGTGCTCCACTATGCAGGATTGGTGATGATCGCTCGGTATTTACTACAAGGGACCAAGCAAACCAGCTATCTCACGACCTATGCAGAGTCCTTCGACACAAGATCGGCAATTGCCGAGGAAGTGCTTTCAGGTGCGACGAGGGTGGATGGGTCGACATTGATGCTGTCATTGACGACCGGAACAACGACATATTCCCACCATACACCACGAGAGCGAAACGATACATGGGCATCATGGAGGTGATCAAGTGGCAGGAATCCGGAAGCAGAAAATCGAGATTCCAGGTTTTGGCAGCAAGGTTTCCGAGCATCATGAACCCGAACGACACGAGGGCAGCCAGGGAGGAAATGACCGATGCTGGCGTGGATCGGGACGACATCGACAGGATGTTCAACAGATGCGATGGATGGTACAGACCTTGGTGCATCCGAGTCACAACCGGTCACAGTGATTTTGGATTCATGAGCTCATCCGCACTGGCGAATAGGTATTCCGCAAGAATGGGTGATTCTCTCGGAGGAGCATTCCATGTGACGTATGTGGAAAACCTGCCAAGCATCGTACGCTGTGGGTTAGTCCCCGGCGGAATCGATGGCGGTAACAGGCTAGCACTGCACTTCGGGGCGTTTGCTCCATGGGATGAGATGAACGTGGCGACGAAGACAACGCTACGGAACGTGAGGAGAGGGGATCCGATTGCGATCATCTATATTCCCAGTGCAACCCTCGCGCGGTATGGGGCTGGAGTCGCGGCTAATGGGACTTTCATGGTCTTTGACGTGATCCCGTTCTATGAGGTCAAGTCCATTTGGATTGGCAAAAGCAACGGAGGGAAGCGCCTGGAGTACGCTGACATCAAGAGGGCGTACTCGAAGTGTGTGGAGAACGAGATCTGCCCTGGCTTTGTCAACTCTTCCCAAGAGTCGGCTGCGATGTTCCTCCAGAACGTCGCAAAGATCAGCGAGAGGATGCCGGAGACTGAGACAGGTGCCGATAATCTGCACTACATCGTTGACATGGTTAATCGTGCCTGCGAACTCTATCGAATCAACAAGATGGAAGAGTTCAATGCACAGGTCAACGAGGTCCGGGACGAAATCAGCAAAGTCGTCATCCTGAATGACGAGACATGGGAAGGACTGAGGTGCCGGATATGTCCATCATGTGCGACCGCGATCCCCACCTGCTTCTGCTTATGCCTGGAGTGCGAGGCACAACTGATCTCCATCGGAAGATACTACATTCACATCAAATCCGATGACGAGGAGGACAACCAAAACCCCAACGTCTCTGGAGATGCCAGGCGTGCACAGGAAGAAGCTAACCACGATGCGGCAGCACAGGAGGATGAAGACGAAGCGGAGGAAGTTCCGGGAGAAGATGACGACATGGACACGCAAGGATATACATCCGGCTATGCGTCAGAAGAAGAAGACAGCGGTTGGCATTACCGCGACACCGATCTGGCGTCACGGGACATTATAAGTTCCCAACGGATGGCGATCTGCCTTGACGAGCCGCGTGAGGCTCAGTACATGGCAGGATTTATCGCACTCCAGCTGTCCAAGATGTGGGGGATGTTTGAAGGTGGTGAGGAGAGAACGATGAATGCCGGACTCGAAGGGAGATCCGGGCTGCCCTTATCACAATGATTTCAAGAGGTACCCCAACATCACTGAGCACGATCAGGAAGGTATACTATTGCCATCAACAATAACGAAGATTTCTCAATCGGAGAATGTTCGGACAAGAGCCTTCCGATCGGTTGAGGAGCGTGACGAATATATTCGTATGATGGTGAACAAATGCGAGGGACTTTACACATTCTACAAGCTGTGGATTGCAGCGAGAATCCTCGATGTCACCAAGGAAGAAATGAAGCTCCTGGTCAAGGACCGAGTGCACCCGGTGGGTGATATTATTTTCAGATGTTTTGCACTAGCTTTCAACTGTAAGTATATATCATTCGTGAGGGATGGCCTGAACCTTGGCAAACATGGTTACACGGTCAACGTGAGCGCCATCATCTCGGCCGTCGACCCGAACAAATGCGACACACCCCTGCTGGATTGGTGCCTTCGGAAAGGGCACTGGTTGCCAGAGGACTACAACAAGAAGTGTGTCCGGGCACGAGAAGCCCAGAAGAACTTGGACGAGGAGTTCCGTCGACGCACTCACAGACTGTCCATTGGGGACCGGTATGCGTAGTGAAGATGCTGATTGCGGCACGATGTGGGTTAGTCCCCATCTGTTGCTTGCGTCTCATCAACACCATTGCGACGGACTCTACATTATGATATGATTTCATATATCCAAGTTGAATGGATGTGTACATGGTTACATACTCCGACGACTATGACGCTCTGGATATTCATGGATGGGACTATTACCTTATAGATGATATCTTTTCATTATTTATGCATTGTCCATGGTATCTGGAATGGCTATGATTTGCATTGATTACTCACCGATGTTTCTTTGCCGGAGATATGCAGACCGATCACAAGCGGGCGCGTCTGGTGGAGTGGAACCCAGGATGACAGCTGCGCGATGCGCAAATGCGGCAGCTGGAATGTTCACTGGCGGTCAAGTGAAGTGGCCACAGTGTATTATATACATGCATGGATGTGTGCTTCGATTGGAGGATGAATGTTTCACTTTTCGTACAATCGAACCCGGCATGTTTCACAGCGAATGAACGGTGTAGTGATAGCAAGTAAAAGAATGCACGACACGATTTCGTAGTTGAAGCCGTGGCCAGTGGAACGTTTTGTGGTGTTTGGACCGCATGATGAACAATGCGACCCAAATGGGGGATGTTAAAACCCCTAGGCCCCGTGCCGAAATTGGGTAGCTGTTCTGAGGTCCTTGTTGGTGTTGCTTCCCAAGTTCCATTGATCGCCATTTGGCTCAAGACACAATTGAGGTTCAAGATCTGATGTGTGACTGCATACCTACGTGATCGGCATTAAGAGCGAAAACAACTGCTTGCGCTGCATTTGTCAGGACCACTGTTGTAACTATCATTCCTTCTCCCTTACAACGTTTACACGGGTTCGGCTATAACGGCATCGTCCGTATACACCTTTCTACGTGGTTGGTATTACAGCTTGAGGGTTCGGTGCATAGCGTCCCACGGGACGTCACCTTGCCGTCTCTTGACACAGGCGAATCCATCATTTGCAGCTGCAGTGTGAAGTGTGAGCTTTATTTGCAAGCAGTGGTTGTTCAGGGTCCTTTACAGCACGTGGCATGCCAAATGGCTTCAGGCCGGACACAATCAACAGAATGCTCATGCTGCAGGCTGTGCCCTCAAAGGCGGCAATATATATGTGGTTGAAAAGGGGGACCACAAGTAAAACCGTAATTTTGGGTGGTCCCTTAAAAAAGACAAACCCATATAGCGCAGGCAACTTGAAGCCGAGGCTAAGGCCATGTGCGGCAGTGAAGCCCGCCAGTATCCGATCCAAGGGTTGCTGCAAAGCAAGTTTGATATAGCGTGACATGTCAGGCTGGCACGCAACATGACAAGGCCCCCAAAAAAATGGTTCAACCAAAAAATCAGAAGGAACCAGAAATAATAAGGGAACCATAAAAAGGAACTACATTCAGCCCCCTAGGTATGAATAACCAAGACTCGTGGCCATGTTTCCGTTTTTAGCAGGGCTCGATGCCCTGCTCGAGTTGCGATGTTGGGTCTTCTGTCATGGACCTCGAAGGGGGGGCTATTGAGGTGAGTCGCGTCCTGAAAGCCCGTGGCAATTGGAGGGAAGCAAGGGACACTCCCAGCCATGCATGGGTGCGGAGTTCCGCCTACATTGGTTTGGGTAGGCCATTTTGATGTCGACTTTTTGATTGTGACCCAGGTGGTTCCCTGTTGAAGTGTGTGGCCGTTTGTTAGTTGGGCGTGGGTTTTTGGAGGCTCCATGCCCGGTTCGAGTTGCGATGTTGGGTCCTTTGTCATGGACCTCCAAGGGCGGGCTACAGGGAATAAACCTCAAGGCCGTACTTGGGGGGTATCCTGAGCTTACCCGGAATGGCCTGGGTCCGTGGTGTTTGTGGCCCTCAAGTGAGCCACAATCAATGCCAGGGTACCGGGTGGGTGACGGTTAGTGGACAGTCCTAGCCAGAACTGGGCGCGGCCTTAATCAAAACCCGGGTAGATGAAGGTTAGTAAGGGGCAGTCCCAGCCAGAATTAGTTGCAGCCGCCTTCTTAATTCTTTGCATGGTTCTGGGTAGACCATTTTATACTGGCTTTTGATTGTGACTCATGTGGCTTTTGATCGTGACTCCTGTTGTGCCGGCCTCAGAGGCCACGCGGCTGAAGCAGCAGAGCCTTCAGAAGAGCTGGGACCACATCAGCGAGCAGATCTCGGGATGGGTGAGGGACGAGCTCTCTGAGAAGCTGGAGGACGGGTGAAGGATCAGTTGCCCAGTGGCGCCCTCTTTTTTCTCCTCTTGGAAGTGCTCCCCTTTAAAGTCAACACACCAAAAGAGGATGCCATTTTTTTCCCATGGCCACTGGGCATGTGAGTGAAGGATCTTGGGGTTTCTGGATGGCCAACCAAGGTTAGAGATGACACCTGCCGACTGTTCCCCTTATCACCAGGAAACCGTTGACAACAGGACGCCGCGCCTCTCCCATCTTTTAGTCTCAAAAGAGCACGACAAGATTGCTGTTGGTCTGGTGTTGGCTTGGGGCCATGCGGGGGCCCACCCAAATATTCCACAAAGGCAAGCGGGAGCCACTCCCATGCCTTACCAGGGAACAGCCGCAAATTGGTCTGGGGCCATGGAACCTGAGGCTCCAGCTCCGTTTCTGGCGAGCCACGCACTCGGGAGGACCTGGATCAGGGGCTCAGCTTTGCGGAGACCTCCACTCGCTGGCTCCGGGAGATTGAGACGCACCGGGTGAGCGTTTGTGACGTCAGCGGCCAGGAGAACGGGAGAACGGGCGACGGAAAACCGCCGAGCCGGGCGAAACGCGGAAAGAACGCCCTGGAGGTTTCCTGGGGGGCCCTGCTTTTGAGGCCCAGAAGCCGAAAAGTAAAATTGGAGGTCAAAGAGCGGGAATAGTAGGTATTTGCCCGGAGAGGAGGCCCAGATCGAGGAGTTGTAACAGAATTCCCCATGTTTGAGACTAGTTGCAGGCATGCTCGCATGTATTTAAGTCGCTTCCTTTGTTGATCTTGTTGAAAACCCAAAGCTCAGCTGAAGCCGTAGACCCAGTTGTTCAACATCTCGGTTCATGTTGTCCAGTCTCCCTACGTTGGCGTGAGCTCAGAAAATACATGTGGCCGTTCCTTTTCACCCCAGGCACTTCGTTGCATCTTCCGGTGAGATGTTCAGACTATGGGAGGCAAAGCAAAAGCTGCAAATGATCCCCGTGATCCGCCCGTTTCAACGGAGTCGCCTTTTGAAGCTTCCTAAAACACGGCGGTGATTCCTCCAAGCAGCTTTTTGTTGCTTCCTAAAACACGGCGGTGAGTATCAGGGCCCTTCCTCAAGCAGGTCGCCTGCCTGAAAGAGGGCTAGCATGTTTTTTTTACTACGGGGGGGGGACTAACTGGAGAAATGGGACCGGCACTGTAACACCACAACTCATAGAACAAGGTGAGCACGCGGAATATCAACCACTGAACCAAACTGTGCGGACAATGGAGTCAACTAGAAAGAACTGAGCAACAGCTGGCAAAGAAGCAAACATACCGGACATCAACTGACCAACGTTGAAATGATACAACGCGAACAAGCAACGACAAGCAAACAGAGAACCATATCAAACAGTTGGCACAGGATGTAAAGACAGCTGAGGTGACTGACATGTCACCAACATGCACACACAGAAATTCAAACCTTCAACAGAAAATCAAACCCAACATTAATCCTTTCCCCCGAAGAATCAAGCGATCCCTCTAATTGAAGCATGTTCTCCAAGAAAGCAAACAAACATGTTGTCGCTTGTCCAGTTGAGATCTCCCCTTTCCGGGCCCCAAAATCTTTCAAAGCATCCATTTCCGAGTAAGGAAATTACGCAGCAGAAATCAGTGACGTGTTCTGGGTTTTTGTATTGGTTGAGGAATGGTTGTCTGCTGGTTCTGAAAGGCCTCCTAGCAAGACTGGAGTGTCAGATGGTCACTTTGGCTACTTTGAGTTTAGTATTCCCTGACTTGGACGGTTTTGGGATTCAACACAATATTATAATAAGGGCGACCTTCGTTATCGGAACGGACTAAGATGTCTCAGTTAGATGGTTTATCACAGGGCATTGCACATTTTTGGTGCTGGTGTTAACTCAATCTTATCAACCGTTTGCAGGGTTTGGATGGGTTCGGCACAATGTTGACCCCAGATTAACAACCCCCTTTTTATCAATATGGGGACGTGCCTGGCGTTTAGTTTTGTATTCATCACTTTTGCGGTCCCCCACCCACAAATGAATAAGCAGGGGTTCTGCTGAATCCGGGGTCAACATGGCAGGTGTGAACTCCAGGCGTGACCCAGCCACTTGGCTCGGCCGCGGCTCGGCCCCCGCCAAACCGCGGCAGGACGCCGCGTGGCTGGCGGAGCTCTCGGAACGTTTGGGCAAGCGCTGCGGGGAGCTGCGGGCCGGCCAGGCGCTGCTGCAGGCGCCCGGGAAGACGCGAAGACGAGGGGTCACTTCCGGGGGGGGGGGGAGAGGGGGGCCCCTGAAAAAATGCGGGGGGTTCCTTTGGTTGCCTGTCTTTTGTTTAATTCATGAAGTCAGGAAGGGGGTAGCCGGGTAGCCTCAAACAAAAGTCACACCCTGTTGGGTGTTGGGACAAAGGAACCCAAAGGATGGTTCTGGTGTGCTTTGGGTTCCGGAACCCAAATTCGGCCAACTTGTGTCACTGAAATAAGACACACCCATGGTATGTGTGTAATCTAATGTGTTCTTTTTTGCATTGCGGGGGACACTTGGGTTTGTGCTAAAATAGGGGGGGCGCGCCCAAAAAACATGTTTTCCATTCAACGCCTACCCCAAGAACCAAACAGGGTACGGAGCCTCAAAAAAGCACACCCACTTCAAGGGGCAGGATACCGTGGATGTGGATGGACCAAATCTACTTCGCACTAGTTGGGATTCGTGGCTTAGCAGCCATCATTCACAATCTTCTATCTGCTGCAAAGTGGATTTTGTCCATCCACAGTCCGCAAAGTGTAGCTAGCTCACCTGAGATGAGCTCCCATGAAGGTTTATGGCTACAAGTCTTCCTTATTCCAGGTTCTACCAGACTTCTACTGGGGTGCATGCGTCAACCCCGTTAATTCATCAACCTGCATGCACCCCGCTTTCAGAATGGGAGACCCCTGGATCAGACGTGATTTGTTCCACCTTTTGATCAAAACATGGAGCCCTGACGGGAGCATTGGGGTTCTCCCAGTTTGGAAATCTCAGTTTGTTTTTTGGCGGGCTTCGAACGTACTAGATACACCTGACCACCAGGGTTGCCTATTTGGGGCACGCTGTTCACAAGTTCTGGCCGAACAAGACGCATTATTCGATGTTGCGCAAGAAAAACTTTACTTGGGCTTGGTTGGGACGGTCACGAGCCCCACGGGCCACGGAATTTGACTATTTAGACAGTAGGTTTATCCCCTTAGCATCCTTGAAGAACCCGGCCGGTTTTCGGCGTTTCCATGGGGTTTGGGGCGTCTTTGCTGGCGGACAGGCATCCAAGGGCCAGCTCCTTGGCGAGGTTCGGCAGCTTTGCGAAGAGTGTGTGTCGCCTTTTTTTGAGGGATGAGCCCTGGAACTAGCCCTGAAAAACTGGGGATCACCATTTTGGGGCGAGGGGACTGAACAGAGACACGCCCATGTCACCCATGGGCAGTTCCAGGGTCCAGGTCCCCATATTCTCCTTCACGGTGTAAGCATGATTTATGTTTGTCGAGTTTCACTTCAGACTCATTTTGCAAAAGAGAAGTATCGGGATTCTGGTGGTCTTTGAGTTCCAGTCGAACGGAACTTGGCTTTGCGAATTTGGGCGGATTCATTTACAGTTGTGTGGGTGCCGGCTTTGAAGGACCCAGTGTATCCCAAGATTCGCAACCTGGACCCAACTATCCTTACAAAAACGCTCGATTCCCAAAGTGATGGTCCATAATTTTCAATTGGCTGATAGGTCGAGGGAGAAGATTTGCGAATGCTTGCCTCTAGAATACGGTTTTGGTGCGGCTGTTGTTCCTTTTGAATCTTAAAAGGAGAAATAAAAAATTACAAAAAAGGAACTAACAAGGGGAGCAACAAAGGTGAAATCTGTTTTCAACCGATTGCCAAACCGTTTTCATCCGATTTCAACCGCTTGGGTGCAACTCCAAACCCGCTTTCCACTGGTTGCCATGTCCAGCGTGCTTCGTTCCACCGAGGCAAGCGGCGCAGGCAGTTGGTGGCCTATTGCTGGGCATGTCAGAGGTGCTGGATGAGGAGAGGGCAAAGCTGGAAACACAGCAATGGCTTCCATTTGCTTAAGATGTTGTTTCCCCTGTTGGCTTGAAGGGAATCTATCACCACTATATTTCTATTTTTTGCCTGGGGACTGAAGCAAATGGCGGAATGTGAGCGGATTGAACCTCCAGCGCATGCAACCAATATGAAATACAGAGAAGTCCTTGTCTCCCAAGGCGGCCCCCCGGTGGTATCACAATTTGTGATCTTCCACAGGGTTCGCCAGCATCAAAGCTCCGGCTGTTTTGTTTGTCTGAAGGATTGGAGCAGAGCGAAGCATTTAGCCAAGGCATTTCTAAAAGAGCGGGGTTTGATTCGACTTGGGTATGGGTCAAAATTAAACCACCAGGAATTGGACCGCAGGTTTTGGTCCATGTTTCCATTTACCAGGATTCCATTTCGGGTACATATTTTTGACAACCACAGCCACTTGATCCCTTGAACTGGTTTCCGTTCGTTCAAACTTGTCTTATCCTCGGCTCCGTTTTGAGCAAGCCCGGGGTCTAGGGAAGGAAAGCCGGGCTTTGAGGAACTGAAGAGTCGCTGCATTTCGGGACTGGCTGCACTTCGCTTGTGGACTTTCCATTGCGTTTGATATCTACGGTATCCGAAAGTGAGAATTTTCAACCATTGCGAACACGTTCGTTCTCTAGCTCGGTGATTTGCAGGGTCTCGGTCTCGGTGTTTTATTCCCCCTTTCCCTTACTCCTGAGCTCCTGGGCTTTAAACTTTTTGGGGATGGACCATTTTGATAGACAAAAAGCTTGGCTACTTGTTTGGGCCAAGCTTTTTGGGAAGACCGTTTTAGGCACCAAACCATTTTTGCGGACTAAAACCATTTCCCGGGAAGACCAAAACAGTTTGAAGGGACTGAACCATTTTTGGGGCGGACTTTCTCTTGGGCCCATTTTACTCAGGAGCTGCGTTCCGCTTGCCGCTGGTTCGCAAGCGCCAGGATCTGATCCAGGGGGGGGAGCGGCTCTGCCAGCGCCTGCAGCGAGACATGGTGAAGCGCGGACACCTCCACGGGGAGATCACGGCCATGCGACGCGGACTTCGAACGCGGAGAACGCGGTTTTTTTCCTCGGGGAGAGCTGGTAGTGCGGTGAAAACGGTTCTTGGTGGCTCCCAGCCATCCCCTTAGCCTTTCAGTTGTTCAGTGTTTAGTGGTAGTTTGACTAAAAGTTAAACTTTTAGCCGGGGATCTGAGGGCAGCCCAGGTTTGGTTGGCGGTTTGTTGGTTTGTCTATGTGTGTTGATTGAGTAAGTTGGTTTGCATCTTGGTTTACTTGTTTGATTGTGGTGAGGGATGCCGGGCAGAAGTTTTACTGCAATCAGTGCAAGGGGGAGATTCACTGCAGGGGGCCAGGTCAGCTTAAAGCTTAAGAACGGTTGTAGGTGAAGGCCGAAGCCGGCTACGGCCAAGTTTGTGGACAACCAAAAAGGCTTGATGACGTGCTTGTGTCATTTGTGAACTTGTGACTTTCTGAATGTGATGTGTTGTTCTTCAAGGAGACTTAGTCGGAAGCGGATCCTTTTGGTTCGTACAGGTCAATAACCCACGCCATGATGCAGAAATGTGCGGTCTTTCCTTCTTCCGCCGAACTTCTACCCTGCTAGAGTCTTCAGAGCAACCCCGTTCAGATCATGATTCCCACAGGAATGGGGATGAAGCCATGTGGCGCCCCTTTTGCTTGTGCGGTCCTTCTAAGACGAAACGGCGTCCCTAGTTTTGGCACACTGTTTTTTGGATGGTTTTCGAGGTAGGAGCATGTAGGTAAGCTTGTCGGAACGACTTGTCGGCCGTGCCCGGACCAAGGTACAGACGACTATCCCGGCAGGAGGGCGTGGATTCTTCGTGGCAGGTGTTTGGTTTTGTCAGAGGCAGTTGCATATTACACTTATGATGTTTCCAAAGTGGGAGTGGTGGGTTTTCTTTGGTTTGCTCACAGACCACCCACCCACCAGCTGACTTGCCCACCGAGTTACCCACCCCGGCCACAAGAACATGGGTCCCCAAGCTTCCCTTGTTGGAGGCAACTCTAAACATCACCTCTTTGGCCCATGTTGCGTGAGGTTGGTGATGCGACCCAGGCCCTTTTCGGAAGAAAAAAGAACGGCGCGTGCGTGAGGAGCAGGATCAGGCCCAGGGCACTTCGGCGATGTTCGAGGGCGTGGGATCCCTGAACTTTCTGTTGGAGGACAGGTGCAAAGTTCGCTGCTCGGGGATCGGATTTTCAGCCACGTTGCAAAGGAAAAAAGGGCACAAAAAAGAATAGAACTGAGTCACATCGTCATGGGAGAATCATGGTTTGTTCAGGTCAATATTTTCGAGTAAATACGCTTATGTCATAGCAGGTACCCCTTATTGACCTGTCCCCATGATGTTTTCTGCGTCCGCCGCGTATCGCAGGCCCACCCAGTGGCACGTGGTTGGGCGATGTTTCGTCTTTTTTCCGTACTTTTAGGGGGTTCGGTTTGACACCAAGGGCAAACCATGTGGGGGTTTTCTCATGAGACATCATGAGACACATATCTAAACAGCCGCTCCCGGAGGACACCGAGCTGGAGTCCACTCAGGACAGAGCCTTTTGGGTGGAGACCATTGGTCCATGAGGCCCCGAGGAAGTGGCGGACGGACTGATTGGAATTCCATCGCGTCCCAATTTTGGCGCTCAACTTGTGAAGTGGGGACATGTGGGGACTGTAGCCCACCACCCCTCCCCTCCAAGGGCATGTTCCCCCCAGCTGCAAGTGATATGGGCTATGGGCTATGGGGTTTTGGCTCGAGCTGCGGAGTGGTTTGGAGCGCCGGGTTCCAAAGGATTCCGGGAAGATCTAGAGCGGTTGCCGGGCAGAGCGGCTTGGTTGCCGGGGGCTGGCTGGATATGGCTGTGGTTGTCAAAACCAATGGGATCCCATTTTGGGGTAGGTGCACCATCCATTTTAGAACCTATTTTAGTGGGGAGTGGGATGTTCACTGGGGCTACGCTTTGGATTTTGACCCATGGCCATCTCGTTCCGGAATGGTTCCGAAAGTTTCTGAGAAGCAGTGGCTGCCATGGGTTCTGAGGGCTCCAGAGGCTGCGGGTTCCCAGAAAGTTGGATCCCAAGTGCCAACCCACAAACTCACCAGGAGCAGGTGTCGCCCGGTGAACTCCTCAGCATCCTTCACAGCACTGCTGCCCGCGTGCCTCGGACGGGGACGGTGTTTTTGTTTTTTTTTGGTTGTTGTTGTGTCTTTGAGTTGTTCTGTGTTTCTGTTGTTTAGGAACTTTGATGTTTTCCGTTCAAGGTGGTTTTCCGTTTCAGGTGCGCTTACCCTCTCACCAACGTAAAATCCATCGAAGGTTCTTGGCCTTGTTTGACTCAGGCGAAATATGCACCATCGTCTAAACATGTGATGTTTTTTGTTTACCTGGGGCAAAAGCCGAGACAAGGGCTCTCAGCACCCTGAGCCCTGCATGACCGTAGCGAGAGGTTTCGATCCCTTGAAAATCGTTGGCCCTGAGTTTCCTTTCGGAAGGTCCGGCTTTTCAAAAGGAAAAGCTATGACCACGTTCTTTTAAGCAGACATCATACTTGCCAGGACCCCACCGCCCGCCCCCCCCCCCGCCCCCCCCCGCCCCCCCCGCCCCCCCCGCCGCCGCCCCCCCCGCATAAACATTTCTCAGCATACATGACACGGACAGGAACAAGAAAGGGATTGAGTCACAGAGTCAAGAGACTTTCTCAAGCCCATTCCGCAGACCAACAGTTGGGCCCGCTTCAGGAACAGCCAAATCGACTGATTTGGACATACATCTCCAAATGAGGTCAGGGTCCATGAGTTCGCATTGCGAAATAAGTTGTCCTCGTCCTTTAAACACCGAAACCAACAAGTTCCCAGGTCTTCAAGCGGCGGAACTCCAAGGTCTTCGATTGGGTGCCCGGGTTGCATCCCATTCGGAGCCGGGGGATTGAGGACCGGCGGTTTGGTGGGCATAGTGGCACCATGCTACTGCTGACCTTCTATGGCGGCCCAAACTGAAATATGGGTGTGTCTCTTTTTGAGGGGACCCTGTTTAGGGTGGCTTAAAAAAGAAGCCAAAAGCCACCTTGTTGGGGGTACCCTAATACATGCGGTACTAACAAACTCAGCATAGATATATACTAAAACAGTATGCTGACGATGGTGTGTTGCTTAGTTCGTCGTGGTTGGTGGCGGTGGAATATTGTCACACTGTTGCTTGCGGCTGGTAGGGGTCTTTGGGTTTCCCACAACCATGATTGTTCCTATCGCGCGAATGATGCCTTATTGGTTATGTTAACAAAGTGTATCATGATGGGAGGACTGCGCCCAAGGTATGTGTTACAACTAGGGCGCCGTTTTCGGCCATTCGCAAATGGATGTGAACCTGGCACCATTAGGCCTCCCACTTGTTTGCCGCTCAGGGGGTGGGATTGTCGAACGTCTGGAGCTTCTTGGACCTCGTCGGTGCAGGGTGGAAGCCACATGGCCCGACATCGCTGTGAGGCCCTCATGGGCCTGGATGACTTGGACAAGACCACCTCCGAGGAGCTTTTGAAAGAGCAGGCTGGAGCCTTCTTTGCTTGCTTCCTTTTTCCATCTATGTGTGGCTTTAACAGAGCACCAATTGAGGGCTAGGTCTTAGGGATGCAGTTTGAGTGGGGTGAAGGGGAAAAAGCCTCCGGAAGGGGGCAAGCAAAGAAGCCATGGAAGGACTCCAAAGGGCTGCTTCGGATCGGAACTTGGGATATCCAATTGAAAGGGGACTCCAAAGGTGTTTGTTGGATGGTTTCAATGGGTTTCACCCAGAGCCAAATCGGGGCGAAGCGCAGAGCCCGAGTCCAAGATTGACCCTGGACTCCTGTTTGGTGCTTGGGTCGACGTCCCATGCTTTTCAACTGTCCTTTTTTGAACACCCGTGGCTTTTGATGATTTTCTGGAAAGGATCCCTGGAAAGGATGAGAGAATTTCCCCAGAAGTACCTGAGCCAGCCCGCTTGCAAGGCCCGAGCCGAAGCGCGGCGCAGGGACAGCGTGCAGGCTCGGGCGGAGATGAGGTCTACGTCAAAGCCACGCAAGCCCACCGACGCAAACACAACCGGCCTCCCAACCAACCAGCCAGCCAGTGAGACTCTTTGCTATTTTCCCACAGGGTTCAGGAGATGGTAAGAGATGCAGGGGCAACTTGTTGCAAGCAGAGGCCAGCAGCAAACGCATTCAATGTTGGACACACATGTCAGGGATGGCCAACACCTGGGTGTTGCTTAGGTGAGACCTTTGGTTCAGCTCTAAGTTTCCCTGTACATCCCAAGCAAGAGTTGTGTCATAACAAGGCCCCGCGCAAGCAAAACCCTGCACGGCATAAGCCGGCGAAAGCACTTTTTGGGGAAACATGCTGCGCAAGCACCTGCGTAAGCTCTTTTTTGTGATTGCTTGGTCAGCTTTGTAATCATGCTCTGAAGAGGTGTTTCACGCATGTGCGTCCGTGTTTAGTTGATTGGTGGCTTGTGCTTGCCCGAGGACTTCAGGAAGGCGCGTCTAAGACCGCATGCGCGCAGCATGAGAAAACAAGACCAGCAGAGCTTTGATCGGGAGCTCTTGGGGCTCATGCCAGGTGTTGTTGAAACGTTGGCTAGGACAAACAAAGGCGTCCGAAACAGCGGGTTTAGGAGAACTAAAGAGGCTCGGGCGCGTAAGCTGGCGTAAGCAGGCGCGCAAGGCTCGCGCAAGCTCGCCTAGCTCGCCTGCCCGCTAGCCCTCACCATGGATGCCACCGCCCATAAGCCTTTTCTTGACCTGCAGTAAGAACAGCAATGCCAAGCCGCTGCAACTCATGAGGGTAGTTCTTCGTCATCTTCCTCAGAGTCATCCACGTCATCTTGAACAGTTCTGGCGGCTGCACTGGAAAAGGAACCCGCGCAAGCAATTCTCTAGGGGAGTGCTCAAATTGCCGACGCTTAAGCGACGCGAAAGCTGAACGTGCTCGCTGACTGCCGCGTGAGCCAAAACATGGGTGTCGCGAGGACAGCGCGCAAGCTCGTGCGTAAGCAACCTGCCACGGAATCGATCGGGGTTTACAGAGTCGCTCTCTGGAATTCCAGGCTGTGATCCGTTTCCACACGCCGCTTCGAGTCGAAGTCGCTCTGAACGCCGGGTGTTTTCGCCCGACCGCTTCGCCAAGCCGATGGGAGGCTCCGAGAATCGCTTGGCATTTGCCACTGAGCCAGTTCAACAGCCATCCCTGCCACTAAGGCCACTAAGGAAAATGCAGGTCATCGTTTAGCTTCATACTTACGTGATGATTTGCCCTGGTTCCCATATTGGTACTGGAGTCACTGGGTTCGCCTTGCCGAGTTGAGTGCTGTGACGACAGCTTCGAGGTTCCGATCTGGGAAACGTAGCCGGGGGTGAAAGTCGATTTGGGTCTGTCTCTTTTTGCGAGGCGACCTTTTTTTTGGGGCTTTAGATTGACATGGAAAGGTGTTTTTTTCGCCTAGCCCTGGCAGAGGCTAGAGCTGGAAGGCTTGGGTTGGTTTGTTGCTTGGTTGGTTGATTGGTTGCTTGGTTGGCGGGGGGGTTGGTGGGTGGGTTTAAGGTTGGTGGATTGGGGTTGGTTGGCTGGGTTGGTTGGCTGGTTGGCCGGCCTAACCGTAGGTTGCATGTGAGGTACGTTCGAAGTTCAGGCTTGGTGGGTGGATCCACCAAAACTTGGCCTGAAACCAACCCTAAACCGACCCTAATCCTACCCGAACCCTGCCCGAAGCCTCCCTTGACCCTCCCTAAACCGACCCTAAGCCTACCACAAACCTACCCTAAACCTACTTGGACCTACCCAAAACCTACCCGTATCCCACTCGAAATTGTAGACTTAAATGCCACTTTTTCGTGCGCGCCAGGCCAGGGTTTGGCTGATGCCAGGGCTACGCAAAAGAAGAAACCTCTGCCAGATGGACACCACCCTTTACTGCATGCTTGTGGACATCTGGATTTTAGGGCCATTTGTGATACGAGCTAAATTCCCAAGGGCCATTTCCCACACCCTTGGTATAACTTGCTTCTCAGCGTCAAACGGAGGCGCCAGAGGGTTTGTATTGGATGCAGCCAAGGGCAATTCCTTGTTCTTGAGTTTGTCAGTGTTTGACATTTTTTGAGGTTGGCTTCAAATAATTTCATGATTTTGTTGTTTTTTTCCTGAACCGTGGCACAGTTACTTCCATGTGCTTGAGAATATGTGTTATTTTCTCTGTTGCTTTTATTGTAAAGGGAACGTATCACTAATTGTTTATATATATATATATACATATGTATAATATAAATTTTGCAGGGGTCTTACCCAAATGGAAGGTTACATGATCTTGAGGCGACTTATGAAAACAACAACTCCTCATCCCGAGGGATGAGCAAGCTAGGTCTCCGAGCTGGTGGCGGGCCTGGGGCTGGGAGCGGAGTGGCCGGGAACTCGGAAAACTCGGAGCCAGGGGTCTGAAGGCTGAAGAAGCCATCCCTGGTGGCTCCCAGCGGAATCGGTTCCTTAGCCTTTTGCCATCTTTTCGTGTTGAGTGGTAACCGGTAGTAGTGGTAGTTTCCATGTAACCCACTAAAAGTTAGTCACTTTTAGCGGGGATCTGAGGGCCCAGCTTTGTCATTGAGAAATTCTGGTCATTCTTGTTTTGTCATGGGTATGGGTCCCTTTCCATCGCCTTGTTATTGAGAAGTTGTGGAGGTTTCCCTCCTGTTTTTGTGTTGCAGATGTCACACGGGATGTTTCACCCACGGACAGACGCTGTCACTAGCTTGAGAAATTGTGGTCATGCGCAATCTTCAACCAATCGTTCGTTGGTTATGCGGTATGCGTTTGATATGTTGGAAGCTTAGGGCGGTTGTTCTTGTTTAGTAGGGAGGGTAGGCATGGCGCCCTCTCTGAGTGTCGAAAGGTTTGGCCTTCCGTTTCTGATCGCCATCCCCTTTCCTGGATCTGTTGTTTTCAGCCTTCCAACGTTTGCTGTGGCTGGTGCCGCGTTCAAAGCATAATGTGAACACTTTGTCATCAAGTTCAGCCGTCGCCGCCACCAACACCACCACCTGCACCATCTGCACCATCTGCACCATCTGCACCATCTGCACCATCTGCACCACCTGCACCTGCACCAGCAGCAAAACGGCTGGTTTTGGGCTCTCTTCAAGGCCACCACAGAACGACACTCACAAAAAAAGTCGCCCACATGCTTGTGTTTTCCATTTCGCGAGCTTTAACGTTTCAACCTGAAAGAAAAGATGCTTGTTCTGACCGGGTCTTTAGGGACGGGCAAGGACGCCTCCCAGCGACCTCTTTGCCAGCATGGAGGAGGTGCCAGCCGAGCAAAGACAAACAAAGACATCGCTGGTGCCCAGTGGCACCTTTTGCTTTTTTGTTTAGAAGCTTTTTCTTGCCTGTTCAGTTGGCAAACTCTATCTTGTTGGCTAGCTGGTGCTTTCTTTTGTTCCATGATTTTGGCCGGTGCCCGAACAGTTGACACTTGTTCTGGCCGGGTAAACTGACCAGGAGGATGGGCATACCAAAAGAAAGGATGTCGAAAGTTCTCTTTCTATTGTCCACTTCAGTCAGGGGTCCCTCTTTCAATCGGCGAACAAAGGTATCCTGTTTCCAGGGGCTGGGCAGGTGAGATTTGCTGCTTGCTTTCCTTGAGCATGCCGAACATGCAGAGGGGGTATGGGGCAAAGGGGGCACTTCGGCATTCGATGAAGCCCGAGCTTCGGCAGCATGTTGGAGGCATGCCGGAGCTTGCACGTGGCACCGCAGGCAAGCCGACGTGATAAGAGATAGTTTTGGGCGATGTCCCATGAGGGAAATAGTTAATCTGGGCTGTGGTTGAAGGAGTTGGCTAGATAAGACCTGGATATGAAAGGGATGCGACGTGGATAGGCGCCCACTTATTCTCTCTACCTACACCAAGCACGGGTTGCCAAGTCTTGGCAACCCGTGTGACTTGGCAACCCGTTGGTGTTAGAGAATGTCTTGCCGCAGTTATCCGTCGCCATGCACTTGGCGCAGAAGGCGGGTTGTTTGGGAAGAGTTGCGCTCAATCTGTGGAGCTTGGGTGTGGCTCAAAGTTAAGGAGGGGCAAACCGCAGATTTTGGTTTCCATGTTTCCATTTACCAGGGGAACCCATTTTGGAATTCCGAGTTTTTGAGCCACAGCCATTTGGATCTAGGGAAGCAAGTTGCTGAAATCCGAGATGAGGTGCAAAGGATCAAATATACCAAGGCACTTTGCTTCGACTCGATGCACTGGGATCTTTTTTGGGGGAGGCTGGCGATCAGATGCAGAGACTGCGGTCAAAGGGGAACAGCGAGTCCAAGGTTGGCCTCAAGCGGCCAAATCTAGGACTTGGCATGGAAGCCAAACTGATCCCAAAACGGATTCAGCACCAGGACTCTTGCGGTTTTCGTTCCAAGGTGTAGACCATGCAGATCAAAGCCAAAGAAAGGACACGTCACTAGTCTCCCGCGAGGCCAAGCATATGAGCTTGTATCCGGTGCTGAATGGGTGCTAAATCTATAATGATGCGTACCAAAGGGGACAACAGGTGGGCACAATCAAGGGTGGGAGGATGAAGCGTGAGGGGACATGCTTGGAGCATGTCGCAACCATCAATAGGTGCATCCGGCCGCCTTTTGCTTGCTTATTTGTTTGGTTTCTGACTCTATCAGATGATCATCAGATGGGACTCTTGATGGGTTGTCCGGCTTCAGACCTCCCACAACGGATCCCATACGGTTGCAATGTTGACCCCGGATCAATAAACCCTTGATTCAGGTCGACTTTGTGGGTGACACATAGGATGGGTTTATCAATCCGGGGTTCTCCTTGGGCTGAGCCCCTGTTCGGGCGGACGGATGTGCACGTTGGGATGTTGCCACATGGAACTACTGATTCGACTTTCCTTCAGGGACCCGTAGGGACCCCTGGGTTCTAGGTTCGTCTGTTGGATTTCATGCCCAACAACTGAACTTCGGGGGCTATGCTCCCAGTATGACATTTCGCCGTGCTGCAGTGCGGCTCGCAGCAAGCGTGCGAGGGTGTAAGCCTCCGCCGGCACTGCCTCACTCTGCCCCCCCCCAATCCCCAATCCCCAATCCCCAATCCCCCAATCCCCCAACCCCCCCCCTTTAACCAGGAACACAAAACCCACTTGGGCAGCCATTTTTCCAGTTCCGGCCAGACCCGCCGCTGGGCCAATCGCCATGGCGGGGCAAGAGGCAACCCCCTCACCGCCCAGGGAGCCGGTCCCGCAGTTGCTTTCGAAGGACACTTGGGGATTTGTCTTAAAGAGAAAACCCCTTGGTGGGCTCCCTGTTTCCTATGCCAAGCGGCTTTTTTCATAGCATGGATGGTTTCCCATGCAGCCCAACAGGTTTTTCATAACTACGTAAATGTGGCTTGAGTCGTTCTTCACCTTGTACCTTTTGGTATTATTGTCCCACGGTTGGATCCACTTCGGCCCGGTGCGGATCGTGTTTTTTTGGAACGAAGGGGGTCACCCCAAAGGAGATCCTGGTAGGTTTTTGGGGTTCATTTGGACAAACCTTTGCCCGTTTGCAGTTCCTCTGAGTTTTGTGAAAAGTTTTCTCAGGTCTGGATCACTTAAATTGCTTGCATTTGAGGCGTTCTCAAATTTCCAGGGAAGAACCCACATGTACAGGCCAATTTTTGGGACGTCACTTCAAGAGCACAGTGAGACTGCCCTTTTCGGCCGCTTGCCACTTTGAGATTTGTGTTTGAGGTTTCGTTTGTACGCGCCAACGACAGTACTTGCGGTTTGGACGTTGGTGCTGGTTGGTGAGGTAATGTGTAAAGCATTGATATGGATATGGGTCAAAATTAACCAACAGGGGACCGCAGGATTCCATTTGCCAGGGTTCCATTTTGGGTGCCTATTTTTGACCCACAGCTATATGAGGAACCTTGGAAGGACGAGGACTGCGAACGAGTGGCCGCGGCCGTGCTGCCCTCATCTGCCACACAAAGCGGGCTTCTTCCAGAGGCGGATGGGAGTGGAGCCTCCGGCTCCAAAAAGACTAAGGGCCCAACAGATTTTGATAGATATTGAATTGGGTTGGAAGAGAAGATGGGTTCAGAAGCTCCGTAACTAGCTGCTCCAGAGATGTCTCGCTCTACCTGGGGATGCCAGCCCCATCAGTTTGTTCCCCAAAGAGAAATGGTGCCACGTGTCTACCTCTCCCTTAGCTGCAGGCGTTCGAGACTTACCAGCGTCACGTCATCGAAATGCTCGAGTCCCTGGAGAGTCGGCTCAAGGACGTCCAGAAGGCCTCTCGGTCGATCCAAGTTGCCGCCGGTTTTTGGGCAGATTACCGAAACGTCACTGGGAAAAGGGAAGCAGTAACTGGCTGGCGCAATTGGCACCTGGTTGCGTGCTTTTTGGGGGGAGCCAAACTCGGGTCCTTTCTGCCCCGCAGCCTTGAAGAGTTGGTTTTTTCCGGCACTGAACCGTCGTGTTTTGCTGGGGTGCCATTTCTCATGGGTTCATGGGTCTTTACATTCAGCCGTTTGTTCGTTCATTTTTTGGTTTGACATCACGTGTCGGAGGTTTGGGACGTGTATGAAAGTATTGGTGTCCGACAATAGAGGACTTTTGAGATATCAGCTGTTTCAATTGCTATGTTTAGGCTGCAGCCTTGGAGAGGAGAACCTGGAGCCTAGTCAGGAGTGGCTTTCGGGGTGAACAAAAATCTCTGCCGATTCGCAAGGGACTGGATTGGGCAGTTTTTCCAGACCCACTACAGGCCATCACCTCGGGATGCTGACGTCCAAGCTGTTACTGTAACCCGATTCGAATCTGGAGAGGAAGAGAATGAGGACAGTGAAAACCCTGGTGTCACTGCGTGCTTTTGGGTAGACCTTTGTACCAAGTTTGACTGTCGGATCCTTTTAGCCCCTTTGACATGATCCTGACTCGTCCGGAAGGATTCGAAATGCAGAAGCCAGTCCCCTGTTTTGCGGCGCCCAAAGGAGTCAGTCAGCTCTAAGGAGTCCCAAAAAGGGTTCCGCTCAAGTGATTCTGGACGCCCAAATCCTTCCGAAAAGCCAGCAGAAAAATAAGCATCCGCGGTTTTTTGGTCGGGCATTACATGGAGCAGCCAGTCCCCCGCCATTTGGCTCTGACATTTGGGGCGTAGTAGGGCCCAGGTTAAATGGGCCCTTTTGGGTCTATGTGGGGGCCCGGTGACAACTAAACAAACAATTTGCTCGGTTGTTTTTGTCTATCTCCAGCCCTTGTTGCAGTAATAAGCGCTAAATCATTCCACACATTGTCCATGACGTTTGGTTTTAAAGTGTGATGTATGGCCATTCTGATTCCTAGGTCATTTGTGTCCCTTCTCTAACTCTTGTTTTGGTTTGGAATCATGGCTTCTTGGCTGCTCCCGCCGGGCTGCGCTTTGTCTCGGGCAACCCATCAGTGGTTTGAACTGGCTCGGGGATTTGCAGGTTCCTTTCGAAGCGAAACGGCAAGGCCCACCCCAAGGTCTAAGCCACAAAGAACCAGCGAGGCCTAAAACGCCGAGAGCTGAATCCATCGCTTCGTTTTCTCCCGAGTCCGTGGACCGTCGGCGGTGCTCCTGCAGCTCGCTGGAGCTTCCCACGCGGTCCAACAGCCTGCGCCGCAGCCTCTCCAAGCGAGCCAGCAACTCCTTGGCGCAGCAGGCGGCCGTGTTTTTCTTCTTCTTCTTCTTTGTCCTCAGAGAGAGAGAAGAGAGCACCAAAAAGCCCAATGCAAGCACGCAAAACGCCAGAAAGCAACAGTTGTTTTTATTCTTTTCTGGGAGGGGGTGAGGAAACACCAGCCATGTTGGGTGTTTGGTTGGGTTCCGCACTTTAAGCAGGGGGAAATGGTTGGTTGTTCCTTGATTTGTCCCCACGAACAAGGGATCGTTGTTCATGCTTGATTTCCACCAAAGACATATCGTGGCTCATTTGTTTAATTGTAAACGCTTCGAATCGCCACCCCCTCCGGAAACGAATTACCCCCTCCCCCAAAAAAAGCCGAAACCGGCCAAGCTCCCCCTTTAAAAACCGGTCCAACTCCGGTCAAATCCCCCTAGAAACCCAGTCAAACTCCCCAGAAATTGCACCCTCGCTTGGTCCAAAGCCCACTGCCATTCTGTAGACACAGTTATATCCTCAAAGCAAGCCAAATGCGGACTGGCCGAGTTGGACCGAGTTGACTGGTTTTGAGTGGCCAGTTTCTAGGGGGATTCGGCTGGAGCTGGACAGGTTTTTAGAGGGAGGGGATTTCTGGTTTGGGGCAGAGAAGACAGGGGTGTCCGGCCGAAATGGCTATGAGTTTCTGGAGCTCTCCTAAATTTTTGGTGGACTTGCTTGAACGAGGGAGTTCCTTTCCCTCTTGGATGGTTCCCAAAGCAGGATTTCTTTTGTCAATTTCGTGTGTTCTGTCGTCCTCTCTCCCTCCTCTGCTCCCCATCCTCCCCATCCCCCCAAGCCTCTCTCTCCTCAATATCCCTCTCTCTATCTCTCTCCTCTGTTTCTCTGTCTCTTTTTGTCTCCCCGTCTCCTTCCTGTCCACGCCCCTCTACAGAAAAAGGGTACCCTAATTCTAACCTCTTTACTGGAGGACCTAGTCTCTCTCTTTCTCTCACTCTCTCTCTCTCTCTATCCCGCTCTCTCCCTGACTCTCTCTCTCTCTCTCTCCCTCTCTCTCTCCCTGACTCTCTCTCTCTCTCTCTCTTTCTCTGTCTCTTTCTCTGACTCTGGCTCTTTCTCTGTCTCTCTCGCTTTCCCTCTTTCTCGCTCTCTGTGTCTCTCTCTCTCTCTTTCTCTCTCTCTCTCTCTCTCTCTCTCTCTCTCCCTTCTTTCAATTCCACAATTTCCCTTTCATTTTCTCAGTATGTCTGCTTCATTTTCCACTTGTGTCCCACTCATTGCTAGTCATGTGCCTACATCTCCCTTCATGTGCGTTGATTTCCTCGTCATTGTCTGTCATGTCCCTTCGTTCTCTTCATTTCCCCTGCATTCC